AAAAAAAGCAAACTACAGCTTATTATGGAAATTGGGTTTATTTTACTATACTAAAAATACATAGGAAAACAAAAAGCTCACAGGAAATAAATCATACATTTAATATAAGAATATAATCAGTAATTAACATATTGTTGGTTGTCCCTTGTTTTCGATTACAGCAGTCTTTCTCTAGGGCAGTGCTCAATAAGTTATGCACATTACTTACTTTTATTGATTGACTGATTGATTGTATGACAAAATTTGTCATGTTGCATTGCATTACTACAAATGAAACAATTGAGCACATGCATTAGTTTTACACTCCCTTGGCCAGACATTATTTTTGGCCACTACTGTATTTGATCAGGGGTATTATAATTGACCAACAATTGAAAATACCAGGTATAATATAATAATTTTCATCACATTTTTTAAACTGTTGGCCAGATGGACGTTTTTTTAAGCATCTCCCATATTCATTCATTATAGACCATGTTACAAAAAGTACAAAAATCTTAATGACCAACTGAAAGAAATGCTCAGAAAAATTGTCTCTCTGCCCTTCCGGCAAATAATTTTCAAAATGTGGCTGGCTTGACCACAGTTGTGTATTAGGGTAGCATGGTATGCCAGTTCTACAGTAGTATTGCAATGCCCAAGTCTCAAAACACCAGCAATGCCACAGTATTTTCCAGGGGTAGTACAGTGATACACAGTAGTATATTCATACATGCAGTACTAAAGATGACGATAGATGTGGATTTATAGATAATAAAATGGTGGCAACATAAAGAATTGTTTTGATAGAGCGAAACAATACATTTCTAGTTTCAAAATTATTTGTTCTTCAGGCATTCCTCTTTAAAAGACAAAAAGGTTCAGCTGTATGCAAAGTGACACATTTTAACCCCTGAAAATTTGTACAATTTAACATTTTATTCATGGAGCCATTCAGAACCCATACCTCTGCTTCTACTATGCAGAGCCTTTAAAGGGGTCATATGATGCGATTTCAAGTTTTCCTTTCTCTTTGGAGTGTTACAAGCTGATTGAGCATAGATAAGATCCCTGAAGTTGCAAAGATTAAAGTCTCAAAACCAAAGAGATATTCTTTATCAAAGTTAAGACTCTGCCATTTTATTTATATAGCAGTAAATAACATTATCTCCTTTTTTTAATGTCACTACAGTGGTCAAATGGCATTTTAAAAGTTTTTTTAATTATTTAACTAACCCTGCTTATGTTATGTTGTTATATTTATTGTGAGTACAGTATATGTTTCTGATAACAGGTGAGTGAGACAGGCAGCATGGATGATGTTCAGGTGATGGAGTGGCAAGAAATGATTACCATGGTGACTGAGGCAGAAAGGGTTCGAGATCAGAGTCATGAGAAGAATGTCATGGCCTTCAGAATGAGCCACATCGAGGAGGAGAGAGAGGGTGAGGATGCTTATGCTATACACCTATTCACAAATGTTTGAAATTAATAGATTCTACCGAAAAGTATCAACAGCTGTTTGGTAGACAAACCATGACTATCAACTGTGACTTAAATAGAAGTGCATGTCTTTACGGTCGAGTGTTGCAGGGTATACTAGTGCTAGCTATGTTAATATTGTGGTACTTAAACCTTAAAGTATCGTCTTAAAGGGTTATTTGAGCTGAGCACTACATTAAGGGTTGTGTGAGTCTTCACTGGCTTCTTGATTCGATTTGATTTACAATTCATGGGTTATTGATTCAATTACAATGTGATTCATCATGATGCGGCATGTCCTTTTTTATCTTTAAATATATGTTTATACAATGCAATTAAATTTGAAATTTAAGATTAATTCAATTTAAGATTTGAATCAAACAAGTATTTTAATGCAAGTTCATTTAACCACTCACATGCAGCCATACACAGCTGTATAACTCTGAGTGCTCTTTATAGTGTACACATACAAAGCATACATGAGCATTTGAAAGCAGCCATCTGTTTGCAAGGTTCACAATTAATGCTTGTCCACTCGGTCAGGTTTTAAATGGATGTTTACATAGCAGTGGTGGACAGTAACAAAGTAATTTCTTTTTGTTACTGTACTTATGTACATTTTTCAAGTATCTGTACTTCATCTGAGTATTTTTATTTTGAGAAACTTTTACTTTTTACTTCGCTACATTCCGAAGCATAATATAAAAACATGTCATTCCTTGTTATTTTAAACTGGAGAAATCGCCACCCGCTCCGAGACTAGATAGCAGTGTCTGATTTGTGAATGAGCTGATTCTTTTCGGTGAACCTGTTAAATCAGTTCACAAATCACACTGAATGATTCATTCTCAAATTGGACTGATTGGATTGCAATTGTTCTTGAGTCAACAAGTCAGTGATTCAAATGATCTGGTCAGAGCGAATCTCCTGTTAACAATACCATGAATTCATAAGTCTGACTCAAAAGGAGCCAAGCCCGGGAGATCTTCAGAGCTTGAGTGCGCTTGTGACTGATGGCGTGAAAAGTAAGTCACTAATGCTGAATTTTAGGATTTATTATTCTAAATAAAACCATATTTAGGTCACAACTGTCAGCTGTTTGTGAACTGTATCTGCTGTAAAAGGGTGAGCTGTTTAAGCCCACTGTTTGAAATGCTTGAATGCGGACATGTCCACATTTGTGTATCTAAATACGGTGTATTTATTTTTTTTTTTAAGTAAAAACGAGACCGAACATTAAAATAATTAATGCCCATGCATCTTCCCCTCTGCTGAAGCAGTTTCGAATGAGTTTTAAACTAGTATGTTTGCTTTTTTAAAATTTTATGCATTTGCCCCATATGTTTTTACATATGGGGTAGTGGTGTGCCCGAAGCGTGAAAAAATTACGCGTTATATGGAGCCACTAAAAGGTAAGCCGCTTGCAAGCGGTAGCCTGTTGCATTACAGTACATGAAAGTTCACTTACCACATACACGGAGTAAGGAGATATGTCTGTTAGGACGATGGCGAATGATTTGCAAATCCTGAGCACCAATGACAAACATCTAATATTGTCAAATGTGTGGTAAGTACTGCCGCTCCATAGTATAGAGTCCTTGTGATCACGAATCTCAAAAGTGAAAGTGAAAGTAAAATGAGAGCGCACAATCGAAAGCGGTTTCAATAGTAGTTATATACAGTCGCCTATACTTGCCCAACGATATAATTGTGAGAAAAAGTATTGAAATATTTTTTTATCCTCCCATCTCGTAGGCTATTTATTCCCTTTAGGGTTTCCGTAGTACACTTCATTTCTTTCCCGAACACGGAACTGGGATGCGGCGGATTGCGGGAGAGGGGGTGGGGGGAAGGAATCACGATGTCAGCTTCACATCGTGATGGCTGTCAGCCATCGGCGATGGACGATGGCATCGTCTATCGGCCCAACCCTAATATATAGTCTGTGCTGAATGTTTGAATATGTTTTCTAGTATGAGAGCCTGTTCTAGTACACCCCCAAAACAAAATCAAGACTTTGTAAAAGAGCTAAAAGAGCA